GTTTATGCACGGCTCTCTGGTCTGGATTTTGACTGGATCATTGCAACACCTTGATTCTTTTCTTTTTCAGCCATTCTGTTGTAGATTTGCTGATGTACTTGGGACCATTGTCCTATTGCATGACCCAATTTCAGCCAAGCTTCAGCTTTTGGGCAGATGGCCTCAAGTTTGACCCTAGAATACTTCTCTGTACAGAGGAGTTCATAGTCGGACTCAGTGACTGCAAGGTTCCCAGGTCCTGTGGCTGCAGAACAAGCCCAATTCATCACCGCTTCGCCACCCTGCTTGACAGTTGGTACGAGGTGTTTGTGCTGATATGCTGTGCTTGGTTTTGGCCAAATGTGGTGCTGTGCATTTTGGCCAAACAACTCCACTTTGGTCTTGTCTGTCCAAAGGACATTGTTCCAGAAGTCTTGTAGTTTCTTCAGATGCAACTTTGTAAACTATGCTGCCATGTTCTTGTTAGAGAGAAGAGACTTTCTCCTGACAGCCCTTCCAAACAACCAACTGTATACTGGTTCAGTCTTTTTCTAGTTGTACTGTCATGAGCTGTAGCACTGATGCTAAATGAGGCCTGTAGATCCTGTGATGGAACTCTTGGGTTTCTTGCAATTCTTCTGAAAATTGCACTGTCTGACCTTGGGGTGAATTTGCTGGGACGTCCACTCCTGGGAAGATTGGGAACTGTCTTGAATGTTTTCCGCTTTTGAATAATCTTTCTTACTGTAGAATAATGCACGTTAAATTGGGTAGAGATGGTCTTATAACCCTTCCCAGTTTCATGGGCAGCAACAATTGCTTCTTTAAGAGCATTGCTGAAGTCTTTCCTCCTTGGCATTGTGTTAAAACACATCTGAATGCGCCATCAAACTGCTAAAATTTTGACTTTTGTAGAGATAGTCACAATTGCTGATGATCAATTAACCAACACCTGTCTGCTACTTCATAATGATCCTGCCTCATAATGATCCTTGTTTTATTTATTTTCTCATAAATAGATCACAATTTACATTTATAGCACTGCATATAACAGTGTGACTTGCCATCAAACCACCTAGGAGTTCAGTGTCAAACAGTTTTCAGTTCATCACCTAAGCCATATGTTAGCAACTGGACCACATAATAGCATAAATTCCTTCCAGCATTATTTACTGTTTTTCCTTGCAAGAGTGCACCCAAACCTTTAACAGGTTTCATTTGGGAATCTGTTGTATCTATTTGAAGATTGCATTCAGTTACTCAACACTTCCTTATTTGATCTGTAAGCCAGTGCACTATTGTGATCAAAATGACTACTTCGTAAGTAGTCCTGACATGTTAGAACCTTGTTAAAAAGAAAGTTGATGAATGTTCATATTCAACTGATGAAGTAGGAGATGCATTTTAATTCATTAAATGTATAATAATTTCAAAAAAGTTATTTAAATACTAAATGCAAAGTGCCAAAAGCCTTTCACATACAGGTCATTCCATATCAAGTGATCCTACTTTTTTACCCCATGTCATCCTACTTTCTTAACATTTTGTATATTTGTTGAATGATCAAAACTAAGTTTAAATCTAAAATTTTACAGTTACAACAAAATACTGTACATAGCAAACAAAATTATGACATCACTGGAACTCTTTAACTGGTGCCAAGATAACACTCCTTCTACCGGGTTGTCATTTTCAACAAATGAGGAGTGCAGAAAAGAACATTCCTAAAACAACTCTTTGAAACAGTGAAATCAATCAAGGGAATACAAGGATTTCATTGCTTTGTTCCATCTACATCCAGTCCAACAGAAATTGTGACCAAAGTGTACTCCTTTAGCAATGAGACTGAGAAGTTCGACATTGAAGGAGGTACAAAATCTCTGGATATGGCTGAGATAACTAGGTATGTAACCTGTGAATACAATAAAAAATGGTGGTTGACCTGTGTGCCGTCGGTGGACTATGAAAGTGAAGACGTAACTCTGCCCTTCTGACACTTGCCGGGCTCAGTGTCATAATTTGCTTACACATCTAGTTGGGATGTTCTTAAGGTAAGGCGAGCAGAAGTTCTAACACCGGTCAAACCAAGGACTGCAACTGGCCACACTTACACTTTGACAAAAAATGAAACATCATGTGCAACAAATTCTATTGACAAGTGTTTGGTATAAAGTATAATTAATGGAAGAATAAATGTTTTAGACCCGTTTGATGTGTAAGGTTTTTTCCATAATTTTGTTTGATATGTATTTTGTTGTAATGTTCATGAAATGAAGTACTAACAGGGATGCTTTCAAAGTGTTAATTCTATCATGCAACAGCAAGTTACCACTCTGCTGTGGAACACATTTTAAAAATAAAAGCCTCACTAGCTTTTCAGATACTGTTTAATTGAATAACTTTTTGAAGAAATGCCTGAAGTAACTGATATTATACTTTGAAGTCTTGTTTATTCTGTTATACTTTACCCAAAGGAAGACTCATTTATCCTAAATAGAACCCAATAAGCCCAACATGTATGTACAAAATATGTTTTTAATGTTATCCCATTGAGATACCAAGAAGTATACCTTAGAAGTATGAAACAATACAATTTGGAGAAAATTTTTAATCGTTTTTAAAAATAACTTTAAAAAATTAAATTATGTAACTTTAAATTTTAAAGTGGGCCCATCATATGACATTTGAAGAGATTGGTTTTTTATTTTTGAAATATCTCAATTCTGGGCTGAGCTTTTAAGGTTTTTGTGTAGTCTGGCAATGTCCCCCCAAAAATGAAATTTGAAACCCTCATAACTCAAAAACAGGATGAGATAAAAAAATTAAAATTTTAGATTTAGACTTAGTCTTGATCATTCAACAAGTGTACAAAGTATTAAGAAAACTGGATGACATGAGGTAAAAAAAAATTGGATCACTTGATAGGGAATGACCCATACATTACCTGCGAGTCACCCTTAAAATGACCCTGCAAGGCAGGCAAGTATGCTACAAAAGGTGGCTGAAGCTGAGGGATAGTGGTTGCATCAAGCCATGCAATAATTGATGAAATTTAACAAGAACCAGAGACTTCCATCTCATACCTCTTGATCTTAGCCATTAGAGCTGGAGTCTTATGTACGCATAATTAGGAGTAAACCTCATTGAATTCAGTGGGACTAATGCTACTAAGTGCGCATGCAGATGGCTTTTCCCTCTAGCCCAGCAACAAGTGGCCAGCAAGATGCCTGCAGGAGACCCCCAAGCAGAGCCTGAGTGAAATAGAACTCCCCTGATTGTTGCTCCCAAGATACTGATATTCAGAGGCTGGGGTGACACGGTCTGAAGCTTGTACTATGAGAGGCTAGGGAGGCAAGCAAACCAGCCAAAACAATTCCTCTTTCTTGTTAACTTCAGCACTGCCACCAGGAAGATATCTTTATTTTTCTCTGGCTGCTTCCTCTAAGTACTCGTTTAACCTTCAGGACTTTAATTAGTCCAGTCAACCTACTCCCAACACTTGGTACAGTGTTATGGCACTTAGACATGGCGCAAATAACAGGGTCTCAGACCAATTTTTCCCAAAACCAGTTATGCTTTTACTTAAAATTTGGTATGGTAACAAGTTATTTAAAAATGAGAAATTGTTCTTAGAAAAAAGGTGATTTTTCAGTTTGTGTACTTACCCATTATAGAAAATAAAACATAATTAGAAATTAATCACATTCCTTTACCTATTCTAGATAACCAAGCCAGTATTTTAATTGCATCACTCAGTTTAGTTTCTGAATCTCTCCAGCATCCTGAAAGTCCTATTCCTATACTTCCTCTGATCTTGCAGGTAGCATACAGCCATCATGACTAATAGGTGTCATGCCACTTTCCTTCTGCTTTGTGGTTCTCTGACATCACCCTCAGATCTACCTCAACTTCACTGGACCACCTTCTCTCTAAGGTGTACAGCCCTCACCTGGGTTCCTGCTAGGTATCTAGGATCTCTTGATTTTTGCTGCCACCACAGATACAAACTATCTGATTCCACCTTTAGTGAGGCCAGTCAAGAAACACGTGTATAATACAACAACTTTATTGATAACAGAACTAATAAAAGTAATCAAATATTAATTCAGCACACAGAAGCATATGGTTTTAGTTACGTAGTTAGAATTTATGTATTTAGTTAGGGTTAGAAGTTATTCTGATTCATATAAACACTCCTACCTATTCTACCTTTCCAAAAATACCTAAGCTAAATCCTCCCTCACCATTTATCCCAAAACTATTACCAGTAACAACACTGACCCTATTCCATCTCACTAGCCCAATATACTCTCAACCACGTTCAGTCCCAACTAGTATTCAAACTGCCCCTCAAAATTCCTATCTCGTCACCACTCACTTCCAATGTTCCAAGCACGCTCCCTCCCTCTCCCAGCCAACACTTAGCCTAATTCATCTAATCTAATTACCTCCACATTTAACACTACACACTATCAGAACATCACAGCAGCCATTGCTGCTTGCCTCATCTTTCATAAATTGGTCCGATTTCCTTTTAAAACAAACTGATGGCCATCACTACTGTCTTGTACAGTATAGCAAATTCCATAGTTGTAAAGTACTTTGCCCTCTGACTCTTCCATTTTCAACTTCATTGGAACACCCCAGGTTTTAATATTATGAAAGAGTAAGGAAAAAAATCTCTAACCACCTTCTCCACACCATCTATAAATTCATACCCTATCACAGCTGCTACATCACCATTTTCATTGAGTTACCCATCTTGACCCCACAATTTTTACCACCCTGAATGATGTGGTGTCATTACAAACATTGCAACTTCACTGCTCATCTCTAAACTTCAGATTATTCACGTTAAAAGGTACAGGTCCCAATACAGATCCCTGCAGGACCTCACTTCATACATCTATCCATTGTGAGTATGGTCCATTTATTCCTTTTTCTGCATCCTTTTCTTTAACCAGTTACAGATCCATAAGAGAATCTGCCATCTTATCTAATGACTGTTAAGTTACTCAGAAACTCTTGATAAGAAACTTTATTAAAACCTTTTTGAAACTGTAGGTACAAAATGAATACTCCAGGGATGGGAACACAAACTTTTAAAATAAAGGAAAAGTTGCGTCTGGTTGCATGCATTATTTATCCCTCCCAAAATCAATTTAACTTTTCATTATCCAAAACAGTTTTTAATCTAAATTAAAAGAACAAAGTATTTCAATCAACAGACTGAAAAAGATTGTTTCATTTGAGCCATGACACATTACAGCCCAACCCCATGAAAAATCTTGCAGCAGTGGTCTGGTGGAGAGAAGGAAAATGGGGTACCACCAGAACTGGAAGACATTGACTCAGACTTTGGGGAGGGGGAGAAGTCTGCTTCAGTGCCATCAGACACATTGGGTGCCACATCACAGCTGCCTCATGATGCCTGGGGCACCTCCCACCCCCAAAAAACCTCCTCCCATCAAGGAGGTGCCAGCGGGCAGATCAGACACAAAGCCAGCCCCATGGACTCCAGCTCCATCGCCAAGGACACAAAGATGGCTGCACCTGCATGAACAAACTCAGCAAACCCAGACAGTTCAAAGGAGTGCCACTTACTTGCCCAGTCCTGTTTCTTGGAGCGCCAACCATATTAATGCCAGTATCCATTCTGCTCTTCAAAATGAGAGTCTGGGGGACATGGCCCAGTTTGTGCTTAGTCAGATATTTTAACCTCTGCTGCAAATGCTAACCAGTGTGCTTTGTAACCTGACTTACATCCCATAGTGATCTATGCATTAAAGCCATCAGCAAAACCTGAGTTGAGAACATGAGTGCTGCATCCACCAGTGAGAGCCAGGGGGCACACAGAAATGAGGCTCTTGAGAGTGAAAAGGGTTAGTGAGACAGGAATTGTTTGCAGAAGCCATGCTGATTTTTTCCAGCAGGACATATTCTTCCCATCAGTTTTCCCAGAGCAGATTCTCGAACTGGCCTGTAATTTTCTCAATTCACGCACCTGATCCAGTTTTTTAAAAAGAGTATTATGTTAACCTCTTCCCAGTTCTAATCTTTTTGCCATACTGCCCAGAACTTTGTTTCTTGTCCCTCTTATTTGTCTCATTTCTTCAGATTCAGTTTCTGATAATGTCACTCCAGGTACCAGTATCTATGCTCCATCTCCCGCAGTAAAAACAAACGGAAATGATTAAATCAGCTTCTGCACAATCACCGTTGCTTCCTTTAGCACACCTTTAACTCCACTGCTGTCCAAAGAACCAACCACTTCTCTAGCTGCTTATGATGTATTTAAGCACTTTTTAAATTGTTGGTATTAATATTTTTAGTGAAATGCATAGCCCATAAATTTACATACTGTCATAGCAATAATTAAACTCACAAACTTTAATTGCTCAGAACTTCACAGCTTTTCTTAACTGATTGTTGGTTATAGTATTCAGATATTTCCATAGCAGTGAAGAGTTCTGAAAATGTTCAAAGAAAGGGACATCTGTTAGAAGGCACTCTTCACAAATTTTGCAGTGCTACCAAATCATTACTTCTTTCTTTGACTGATAGTCTGGCTCTAGTCAGATCTAACAGAGCTAAATCTCCTCTATACTGTCCATTATATATTACTAAATCATTAGTTAGATGATTCTAACAAATTCTAAACAACTTTAGAATTTCTCTTAAATGTACTGTTTTCGCTTTTTTTAAACAGCACATAATAATCTCTAGTTTATTTTCTGAATTTTGAGGCAATGGTTGGCAATACATCCCTATGCTTGGTTTGCATAGACAAATTGGCTTACTTTGCTTCAGTAGTTATACCAGGATGTCAAATGGAGGATTTCTACAAACAATATGCTGGTACCTTACATTTCACAATGCGCAGATCATAGCAGTACATAAAATTAATTAATTAATTAATTAGCCACCCTTAGGCAAAGAGGCTTTCTGAGTCACTTACAAAAATCAGTACTAAGGGAGTCCCTGTCCTAAGGCTCACAATCTAAAACAGGAGTGAGGAACAGGTCTTCACTGGCTATTTATAGTGGGTCCCACTACATGATGACTACAAAGCTTAGTAGTTTGTTATTTAGTACAATTCATGCAATTCAAGATAACAAAATGAATTCCAATAGGGATAAATTTAAGGTTCTCCACTTAGGCAGGAGGAACCAGACGCACAAATATAGGGTGGGGGACACCTGGCTTACTAGCAGTACGTGTGAAAAGGATCTAGGGCTCCTGGTGGACCACAAGCTTAACATGAGTCAACAGTGTGATGCAGAAGCAAAAAAAGCTAATGCTATTCTAGGCTGCATCAACAGAAGTCTAGTGTCCAGATCAAGGGAAGTAAAAGTCCCACTCTCTTCTGCCTTGGTCAGACCACACCTGGAATACTGTGTCCAATTCTGGGCACCACAATTTAAGAAGGATGTTAACAAGCTGGAACATGTGGAGAGGAGGGCAACCAAGATGATCAAGGTCTGGAAACTAAGCCTTATGAGGATCGGTTGAAGGAGCTGGGTATATTTAGCCTGGAAAAGAAGGGCTGTCACATGGAAGGTGGAGCCAGCTTGTTTTCTCCTGCTCTGAATGGTAGGACTCGAACCAATGGCTCCAAGTTACAAGAAAGGAGATTCCGACTAGACATGTGAAAATACTTTCCGACAATAAGAGCTGTTTGACAGTGGAACAGTCTCCCTCGGGAGGTTGTGGACTCTCCTTCCTTGGAGGTTTTAAAGCAGAGGTTGGATGGCCATCTATCATGGATTCTTTAGCTGAGATTCCTGCATTGTAGGGGGTTGGACTAGATGACCCTTGGGTCCCTTCCAGCTCTAAAATTCTATGATTCTATCCTCTCTATAAGGCATTCCACTCCCCCCCCCCCCCGCTCCACATTAGGTTTGTATTTCTCTTTATTCTTTGGAATAGCAGTGTTTTAGTGTAATCTACTTTCTCCCTAAAGCATACCACTATATGTGTTTTTCTTTTCCTGGCTTGACGTCATTTTTGTTGTTTTCTAAATTCCTTAGAATGACTGCTACATTCATGATATGGAAGCTTTTATCTGGCTGGGAGGTGGAGGAGGATTTTTACCCTGTGTGGCTGAAATTAACTTGTCAGAAGTTTCCAACTTTAGAAGCTTTTACAGCTCAATTGAACCATTATTCAAAACTGAATGAAGAGGCTGTAGACTATAGAAGCTCATGAAAATAAATTTCACAAGAATGCTTGTATCTGAAGTCTTAGCTCTATGCCATTAATTTAACAGCCTCTGAAATTTGTATGTTATTTAGAAATCTACAGTCCTGTCATTATATTATTGACTATTGAGTATATGTGTGTTTTTATGTATTGCCTTTGAAACGGTCCTAAATTTCCTGTATGTTCACCAGCTGGTTTTGTTGTCTCCCCTGGTATTCTGTGCAGAGTTGGGCTTTGGCTGCAATCCACACCTTGTTTATTCTTCAGTACTCCACCATGGTGTTTTGGGAGAATCTGCTAAAATGAAGGAAGATGACTCCCTTCAGCCAACCAACTTTCACGGCTACTGGTCAAAATAACCTTCAACCTGAGAAGAATTTTTGGTCTCTCCTCAAATGACTCTTTTGGTAATACACCAAAGCAGGGGCACCGGATATATGGGGTGCAAGGGGCCAACATCCCCCGTCACCGCCACGTGCTCCCCACATGCCGCAGCCCCTGCGTGGGAGCCCAGGAGCCAGGAGGGGGCTGGGATGAGTAAGGACAAAGATCGCCCTCCATGGGTCCTGCCCCTGCCCGGCACATGCCATGGGGAGAAGGAGGTCGAGGATGGAGCCCAGCTCAGTGTGCGAGTGTTGGCATCACGGGGGCGGGATGCATCCCATGACGTCACATGACATGTCACGTGATGCACCCCCATGTGGTGGGCAAGTTGGCATCCCTGCACCAAAGCATGGTAGCAGTACTGCCAGTAAGCAGAATACTATTTTCATTTCAAGAAGTACTGCCACAATGGTAATTTAAGAATCTGCTAAAAAAGAGGATATTCTGGTTCCACCAAAAGTACAGTGGCTGCCATCCTAGGCATGCCTACCTGGGAGTAAGCTCTAGGGAACACAGGAAAATTCTTAGCTAACATGCAGGCACTTGGTCTTCCAGTTTCCCACCTAAGTAAAAGAGCTGACTGCTAAACCCTGAATGAAGAAATCCCTACTTGAATGTATACGTCAAAGGGGGAATTGGCATGATGGCCATTTTTATAGTATTTAGACACCATTTTTCAACCCAATGGAAGTGACTTACAATTAAAGTTAAAATGCATGGTTATATGACATCTCCACGTTCTGAAGCAGTTTACTGCTCATATAGTAAAGTCAGTGTGGTGTAGAATGTTGGACTAGGACCTGGCAGAGCAGGATTTGAATCCCCACTTAGCCACGAAGCTCACTGGGTGACCTTGAACCAGTCACCATCTCTTAGCCCAGGAGTTGTCCACCTGGTCCCTCCCACCCACTGGTGGGCGTTTCAGGATTCTAGGTGGGTGGTAGGGGGTTCTACGGCACAAGCTGAATCCTCCTTCCATCGAGCACTGGGGGGCGGTAAGGAAACTTTACCATCAAGAAAGATGCATTAGAAGGTGGTAGGTATAAAAAGGTTGACTACCCCTGTCTTAGCCTAACCTACCTCACAGGGTTGGTGTGAGGATGAAACGAGGAGGAGAACCATGTACACCACCTTGAGATCCTTGGAAGATAAAGGTGGCATATAAATGCAAAAAAAATAAAATAATGTTCCATAAGAATTGGAGAGGGTGAGCACATTTTTAATTAGCTGGAAGGCTTCTCAGAGGCCAGAATGGGAAGCAGAATACTGGAACAGATAGACCTAAGAGTGAGGAGTGGAGTGGCTACAAACCATCCCATAATATACACCACAGTGATAAATGCAACACCCTCAGAGAAGCAACAAAACAAAGCATTAAAATCAGTAAATGGGGTTCTTCCATAGTGGTGGCAGTAGCGGCGTGAAGGGCCAGATGTTACAGTAAGTCCAGACTGCCTCTTCCTTGTGTGTTGGCTCTGCTCCCTGCTTTACACAGGGCCGTCCTCTGTTTGAAGGCCTGTTTAGTCCAAGTCTGGTTAAAGAGAAGAAACCTATTGGTAGCATCCGGACAGCAGAGCAAGCCCACAGTTCACCCGGTCACAGTTCTTCCTCTATGGTGAGATATATTGTAATTCTATTACAGTGATTTTTCTATATTTCTATCTATATATATTAAATCAGCACATGCAGATCTGTGCAGTCTTTTTTACTCTTTTCTGATGATGCGTAAGTGGCTACTTTGCTCCCAGCTGCTCAAACTGCCTACACTGCACTGATGCAGTCTGTATTGGCACTGAGTGTTATCTCTGCATACCAGGAAGCATACCTTGCAGTGGGTATTTCAGGCTGTGGAGGATGGGATGTCCTCACTTTGGCCCAAAATGCTAATGGTCCCTTGGCTAGCTGGCTGACCAGATTTGGCTGGTCTTTCCTTGCAAGCAGTGGGAATAGGAGGACCAGCATTTAAAGTCCAATATGACAGTCCCTGCTAATAGCTGTCCAGCTGACACTTAAATAGCCTTTGCTCACACTGCCTCTTCTATCCCTCTGGGAATGGCTTTTGATCAATTGCTGCTGCTGCTGCTGCTGCTGCTGCTGCTGCTGCTGCTGCTGCTGCTGTCGTCGTCATCCATCTGTCTCAAGAGACAGTGGGTTGCTCCTCCACAGGTGAAGTCAAACCGCTGCGTTAGCAGCACCAAAGTGGCCTCTGCAGGGTGCAAGCCTGGGCACTGTGTATGGAGGTCCTCAGCTGCCCAGATGACGCTGCCCTCAGCCTTGCTGATGTGGCCCAAAGAGAGAGCAAGACGTTTGGCACCAGCTTGGTGGGAGGAGGCATAGAAGGGGCACAAAGCACCATCCAACTGCCTTAGGACATCTACTCTGGATTTGTACAGGGTTTACTCCTTAGCCTTTTCTTCTCCCAAAGATATCTCACAAGGCAGTGGAGGTTTAGGATCAGAGTTTTCCTTCTCCTAGATGGGCTACCTAGTTGACAAGCCCTATCTGCTCCTCATGTCTCTCTACAGCACATGCAGAAATCGTCTTCTTGACCATTGGACTCACTGTTGTTCTCATCTGCACAATCCACCAGAGCCTTGTCTTCACCTGCAGGGGAAGTCCCTAACTCACCAAGGGTTTGAGACCCATCAGCTACCCTCACCTGGTTTAGCCAGCCAGTTGAAACCGTTCCTTGGGGTGTGGCTCCTGTTGCATGCTGACAGCTCTAGGAGCCACAGGTGAGAACTGAGTGCAGGGTGGGGACGAAAGGTGGACAAACTACCCCAGAAGGAGCATGATGTGTCCCCCACCAGAGGTACTACCCCTCCGCTAACACCCCATACATCCTGGCATTCTATCAACCATATGTAAACAGGCCAGGCTGAAGGGTACTCTTGGATTCCCCAGTTTGCAGCTCTCTTCAGGAAGAAGTCAGCTCCTGCCCCAGACTTTGCATCTCCCTAATGTAAAGAACTGGTTTACTTGACCAGACAGAGAAGGGGCAGATGACAGGAAGGAAGGGTTTTATGGTATTATATTTTATTTTTTAATCCATGTTATAGCCTTTCAAATGTTTTTAAAAACTATATATTTAAATTCTGTTTTTAAATTGTGTGGCTTTTTTTAAAAAAAAGCAAAAATGAAATTATGAAACTGATAAACTGAGAATGACAAATAATTCTCCTTTACCCACCTGTTTTCTACAGGTCTGCAGTACAAAAGCTTCCCCCACTTATCAGCTCCTTAGACTCCTTCTTTGTGCTGTTTTGTGCGTGTGCAGCTGAGATTTATTTTTTTTAAGTTTGAAGAAGGTCTGCCAAGCATAATTAATATTCCTCCTCCACATTCACATTACCATTTCTCCTGACAGTAAAAATTAAAGCATCCAGTTCTATTCATTCAACCCCAGCCCACGGGAATTCAGTCACACAGGAAGACTTATGAGGAAGCCAAAGGTTTGTAGATCTGCAGTCAGTCAGTCAGCCAGCCAGTCAGTCATGGCGCTGCACTCATTCAGTTACTTTTGTGGACGAAGTGTCTCTTACTCCATCCGGATTGGGTGTTTGCCAGTGACACTCCTGAGCCTTGCTCAGAGAGAATGGCAGCCTTGAGAAAGCCATGCACTAGTGATTCAGTTCCCCTCTTTCTTATGATAGGAACAGCTGCCGTATTGTTGCCGTCTTCCTTGTACCAGGGAGCGTTGCCATGGGCACTGCTGCCAAGGAGCACAGAGCAGTGAATAAGAGAGGCTGTCCCCAAACCTTCAAAACTAAACCTACTTATTATACTGTGTATTTTGTTTCAAATAACCTTTTGCCATGGAAGAAAGTTTTATTCTTGTTCTAAACATTGTTGACAGATGTATAATTCGGCTACTTAAATAGATGTTTAATAACCAGGGAGAAGATGCCGCTAAACATTCTACTTAACATCAGGCTTATTTTCTGTGATTATTAAAATGTCATTCATTGCACTGCATTATCAGTTTTCACAGGACTTAATTTGTCAAGCATTCAAAAAGAAGATCACACAAACATTTTACAGATGTGCGTGCGCATTTGCTGAATTCTTGCCAGTAAGTAAAATAAAAAGTAAATCTGGGAGATGTTAAAGACGTCTTGCAGGTGATAAAGAGGTTGTGGCGGAGGCAACATCAAGCGCATTTGCCAAGTAAATAGCTTATCCAGATTATAAATGAATATTTACCCAACTGCACCATGACCTTTAACTGAGTCTGCATCCAAAGACACTGTTATCAAACAAGTAAGAGTAAATAACAGTAGGGATAACAGTAATGCTGTCAGCTGTGGGGAGAATGTTAGATGGCTAGGCATTCCAGCACTGGAGAGTGGACCAGCTTTGGAAACAATTAAATTAATATTAAAACGTTCTTAGCATGGCAGAACATTGCAACACAGGAAAGGCTGTGACTTTCAGTTTAGAAGAAAGGCGGACGTGAATGAGGTTTATAACATAATTGGTTTGGAGAGAAAGAGGTTTCACCCTTTCTTAAGACTAGAACTTAGGTTCAGAATGAAGCTGATGGGCTGGAGCTTCAGGACATAGAACTCAATAGCCCAAGAGGTACAGCTACGAGGTGTTTGTTGTTGTTTGTTGTGTGGAATTAGACAACTTCAGGGAACATTCTGTGCTTAATCATTGAACAGAAAGAACGTGTGTCGGAACAGAAACATAGGAAGCATAAGATGCTGCCTTATATCAGGTCAGAGCAGTGGCCCATTTAGCTCACTGCCGTCCACACTGGGAGTAGCCAACATGGCGCCCTCCATTGATTGGTGGGGCTACACTGTGTTCGAAGTGTTTAGAAATGGAAGGCTTTTTAATACATATGTGGTAGCTATGTAAACATGCAAAAAAAAAAAGGAAGATGGTATATGAGGAATTAAAAAAAATGTTCCTTACATTCAAAAAAAAACAACAACCCAGAAGGCTTTCTTCTAGCTATAATAGGAAAGGAGAAAAGAAAGGAAAGGACACATTTTATTTTTTGCAATGCAACAGCAGCCCCAATAGCAGTTTATGCAAGAAACTGGAAAGAAAAGGTTATCCTGACAAAAGACCAATGGTTGCATAAATTACAGTGGTACCTCAGGTTAAGTACTTAATTCGTTCCGGAGGTCCGTTCTTAACATGAAACTGTTCTTAACCTGAAGACCACTTTAGCTAATGGGGCCTGCCGCGCCGCCGGAGCATGATTTCTGTTCTCATCCTGAAGCAAAGTTCTTAACCTGAAGCACTATTTCTGGCTTAGTGGAGTGTGTAACCTGAAGCATATGTAACCTGAGGTACCACTGTAATAGAATTTGCAGACGGCTAAAATAAGGAACTAGCTAGAGAGGAAGATAAGGAGCAAGTGGTAATGTCTTGGAGAATACTTAAAAATATATGGCATTACTGTACAGTGGTGCCTCGCAAGACGAAATTAATTCGTTCTGCGAGTTTTTTCATCTTGCGGTTTTTTTCGTCTTGCAAAGCACGGTGTCGGAAAAGTTTTGGAAAAGCTTCAAAAATCACCAAAGTCTTCAAAAACCTCAAAAAAGGCTACCACACCACGTGCTATGAGTTGCTCCTCGAAGTCAAGTCGCAACTGTATTAACGGTTTTAAGAAAAAAGGAAACAAACTTGCAAGACGTTTCCGTCTTGCTAAGCAAGCCCATAGGGAAAATCGTCTTGCGAAGCAACTCAAAAAACCAAAAACCCTTTCGTTTTGCGAGTTTTCCGTCTTGCGAGGCATTCGTCTTGCGAGGTACCACTGTAAATATAATCTGCAAGTAGGGACAAACCTTTGAAGAGCAGTTGACAAAACAAGGGAAGTGAAGGGACGAAATGGAGTGGAGAAACTAACGGAGATGCAGCCAACTCAGGATGTCACTGAAGGATAGGATGGGAAGTCTGCTTGGGAAGATGGGAAGATTATAAATGTATGTAAAATAAAAACTGGAAATGCATAGATATAAATAAATAAGAATGTTTTTTGTGGGGCTACAACTCCCACCTTTCCTGTCCATTGGCCATGCTAGATCAATATTGTCTACGGGAGTCTTTCCCAGTGCATACCTGGAGATGCTAGAGATTGAATATGAGACCTTACACATACAAATCAATTGCTCTAAAACCCTTCCCTTGTGCTGTAATAGTACAAGAGTAACAAGAAACCTCAGTGAAAGATTCTGCCACTGAACATACCAGACTAGTAACAACGCACACCAATGAAAATTACCAAATAGATTTCCTATGGTATCTGCAAAGATCCTGATCTTGCTCTATGCTGTTTCCTGCCGCTGATTTATAGGTGAAGTGGGAATTGTAATCTGCATGGTTCGTTTAAGTATGAAACCCAAAGAGTATGTTTAACATACAATATGACTTGATCTTTTAATGTGGTTTACAGAAAATGTAGTGAGACAGTATCCCTGTTTTAACTACTGCTTTTGGAGGATAAGCAGCTAGAATGTTCAGGGAAATAGCAGACTCACTAGACTTGAATCAAAGTTGCTAAATGGTTGACTACAACAAAGGGAAAGGCATTTTCTAGCTTGGAACAAGAATGTCACTAAATAATCTATGTACCAGACACAAGTGCCAATTTATCCCCGTGACTGTGGGTGCCTGGGGCTGTGGGTGCCATGCATGGCCCTGGCACCAAAATTTGTGGGTGCCCAGCCCCTTCATGGGGAATGTTGGGCATCCAGGGCCATAGAGAGTTGGCACATTAGAATATAAAGTCAGCACAGGGAAATAATTCCTCTTTCAGAAATTAGAAGTTTCAAAGATGGAGCATTTGAGATCAGATTCTATCCAGCAAGCAGGAAATAGCTGAGAATTATATAGTGGCAGAAGAAAGCTTAAATTAATGATCATGAACTGATTGAGATCAGCAAAGTGAAGTTAGCTGAACAGGGACAATGAACTTCAAAAGACTTAAACAAACTGAAAAAATGAAGTCTGTGACCATGACCAGAATTACAAAAGCATGGCCTTGACCAGAAAAATGTGTTAAAATCCTTGAGAACCTCTTGTTTCCTTTGTGACTCGCATTATGTTTGGTTTACCATTTGTTCTTAATTTGTGTTTGAAAGTCATTGTGATGAAGTCCAGTTTTAAGCATGGCTTTTGAAAAACTGAAACCAGTTGACATACAAAGAGAAAAACATCAGAGTTAGAAAAACTGCCAAACAACTAGTAGCGTATGAAGGTTTGAGTTTGGGTTTGTAGAAGGTAGGACCACCCTCAATTTAGAGAAGAGTCAAGCATATAAAACAAGGAATACCAGGTGGTAATTTCATAGAGATTAGCTGGCATGTTGCCATTTCCCCTTGGATTATTTATTTTATTATTCTTTTGTACACCACTGTTTTGCAGCTAACAGTGAGGATAAAGGTAAAGGTACCCCTGCCCGTACGGGCCAGTCATGACCGACTCTGGGGTTGCGTGCTCATCTCGCTTAAGAGGCCAGGAGCCAGCGCTGTCCGAAGACACTTCCGGGTCACGTGGCCAGCATGACGAAGCTGCTCTGGCGAGCCAGCACCAGCGCAGCACACGGAAACGCTGTTACCTTCCCACTATAAAGCGGTACCTATTTATCTACTTGCACTTAGGGGTGCTTTCGAACTGCTAGGTGGGCAGGAGCTGGGACTGAACGACGGGAGCTCACCCCGCTGCGGGGATTTGAACCGCCGACCATACGATCGGCAAGCCCTAGGCGCTGAGGTTTTACCCATAGCGCCACCCGCGTCCCTAACAGTGAGGATAGCTAACAAATAATAAAGCACAATAAAAATACTAAAAATAGCAAAATTCCAGCAATCAGACTAAAACATGTCACAGTATAAAAACAAAGCAATTAAAGCAGTAGTTCAATCACACACACACACAAATAGACAATCTAATTTTGCTCCAAAAACCTGGAGAAACAAGGAAGATTTTGCCCAGCACCAAAGAGTAAAAAAGAAGGCATTAAGTAGATCTCCTTTAAGGTGGTTTTCCACACTCATGTTGCAACTACAGAAGAAGGCCTTCTCCCTGATAGCTACAGGTGGGATATCCTCCAGAGAAGGACTTTCGCAGAAGGTATAGAAGGTATAGTGGAATATAGCTCGGCTACATTCTGCTCAGAATGGTCACCCACTGCCGACAACCCAGTAGCAACTGTGTTATGAACCAGCTGACTGTTCCAAGCATGTGTAGCCCCAGGATAGCAGGACCTAATTTCCTGGACTCACTGAGCAGACGGTTTGGTTTGTGGGCGGCTCGTGGGCCGGTTAAATGACCCCCGTGGGCTGCTTGTGGCCCATGGGCCTTAGGTTGCCGACCTCTGTGTTATCAGAATCACAAAGCCCCAGGCAGGAAAAGCCATCTCCAGAGTGGAATGCAACCCAGCCTGAACAAGTAAACTGTGCCAGCCATGTTTTAACAACCAAAGGATATGTAAATACTTTCTTTAGCCTGTGTGAGACAGGTGTGGGGACCTGTGATTGACAAGGGCGTGTCTGAATTTTCTTCCTGACACCACTCCTCTTCTGTGACATATCTGTGAGGTTTTGATGACACTGTTGGAAATGTATTATGGGAAATTATGGGAACTTTTAAAACTTCATGTAACCTTTGTTCTGGGCTGCTGCTTCTTTGCTTGCCTTAGAGGTTGGGACCTTTGGTGCAACAAATAAAGATCAGGCCTATTGGCCACTGATTTGCTTCTTCATTACTTGGCTGAAGCCTCTTGTTTTCTGACTGATCCAAAATCCTCAGGGCTAGACTATAGCGAAGTTGGGAAATACTTAAAGTAGTGTAGCCCAAGTTTTTTTTGTCCTTTTCACACCTTAACACCAAAATTAAGCAGGAAAGCTTTTCCTGGGCTATACCATTCCAGTCTACAGATGGGATGGGGGGCAGCATCTTGGGATGCTTCTCTAAACCTTTCTGACACACAGAGTAATAGAATGTCAGGCTAGCCTCCCGTGGTGGGGGGGGGGGAATCCCCCCAAGAGGAAGCAATCCTGCACTTCACATCTAAAGTGAATACAGTTAAGTGAAAGCCATGTCGCTTGATTCTTCTGATGAACTGGATAAATCATCCTGCCGGTTGGGGGTTGGAATGGGACACTAGCATTAATACAATTATATACCAACAAATGCATTCAAAGGGGTCGCAGACACTGTGAGAGAAACGAGACACTGCAAGCTGAGGAAGGAGGCAAAACATGAATACAAATTCTAGTCCAGAAAGATGCTTCTCCTAAAAGTCAATTAGCCTCAGCAGCTTTATTAAAATAGCAATAAATATAAAATGCTAATAATATGGACAAGCCAAATCAAAGCCCCAGTGTGACGACCTTCCTAAATGCATTTAATTCCTTCCTTTTTTTAATCACCTCGAATCACCTTCTGAATGCGTGCAAGAGAAATGCATGACTTTGCATTAAGTTAAAACTTTCCCTCGGGACATCTGAGTAATGAATGGGAAAGCTCTCTTCATTCGGCTCCTTTCCCCATAAATCAGCTGAGAAATTATTTCTCTCTTTTTTTCTTTACTCTGTCTTGCTGGCCAGAGGCACCTCTGTGATTGATAGCACTGACTGGCACTTGTGCTTTTTCTAGTTACAATGTGCAGCTCCTATGACTGTGCACAATGTTCACTCTTGTCTATTTGACAACAAGTGCTTAATGGGGAGAAAACAGGTAGCCTGCACTCACATTTTCATAATTGCAAATGGGTGGAAGTTAACTAAGTCTTACTCAGAGTGGACCCACTGATTTTTATGATCATGACTAAGTTAGTGTAATGTCTGGCAGGCAAGCAAGTCCCGATAAGAAGTAATGACTCTCCAGCAGTTTTGTGTACATTTATTTTCAACAAAACACATTCTCGCCTCCTCGCATTGATGATAGTTGGTCAGTCTGAATCTTCACCCCTCCCACAGCAGGAAGGACGCCAAACTCCCACCTTTCCCCTCTTGACCTTCTGCTGCCCTCTGATCTTGTCCAGTCTCCTAGAACGGGGACTGAGAGGCTGGCCTTCGCCCTCCCCACTTTCACCTGACACAGTCTCAGACCTCTGCTTATCTGCTGATTGCCTAGCAACTCTCTGGCTGCCTTCTAACCCTCCTGCTTCTTGAGAGCTAACAGTGTCTTCTTTGGGAAGGGGGGTCAAACTGTCCTTTCTCGGCTCTGTCAGCCAGCTCTCATTTACAGAGTCAGTCCCTCTTTCACTTAGCTCAGTTTCTGAGTCTGACTCTTCCCCTGCGCTCTGGTGAGCCACATTCCTGACAGTTAGGGCCTTTAATTTCACTTTGTCTACTCTGAGTAAAATGTAGCTTCATACCACGCAATGATTTGAAGGCTGCACTCCTATACTCACTTACCTGGAAAGTGTGTCACACATACTTTCCAGGTAAGTGGGTATACACACACACGATTGTTCTATTAGGCTCTATGTTAACTAACTTATTATCTATCCTGTCGCAGCTCAGGGCAATAAAGTATTTTAAAGCATACAAACACAACCAAAAACTTTGATTGAATAGCTATTGTGACTCAGTAGTTTAGTTGTGTCAGTTCTTCGCTCTCAGATTACATCCAAGCAGACCAAGGGTTCAAATTCCACCATTCCTCTAATGTTGGCAGCCAGCACAGGCATCTGCATCTCACAAAATGTTTGGTGGAGTCAGTAGTAGGCATCATGCATTCACTTTCTGCAACCATTTGTGTTATGTACTGAAGTTTTCACCCTGGGCCAGCAGGGGGATACTGTAGATAGTTATGCAAATAAGGGATCGAAAGTGACGTTCACTGATTGGATAGTTTTAGAAAATTGTTACAGTTACGTTGTACTGGAGCTCTATATAAGCAGGCTGACTGAATCCTTCAGTTCAGTTCTGTCCTGGCCTGTGAATAAACAAGAGCTGTTTGAAGAATCACTGTGTCGTCTGATATGTTCACCCACAACTTAACAGGCCCCACTTGGCACAATGACCAGGACCCCTCCCCCCAAGTTAACTAGGCTGGCGTACCACATTTTAAATTTCATTCTGAAAACTCAGTACGCTAAAGAATTTTATTTCATTTTCAAAGGGGATGAGGAAGGGATGTATGTACGAAGACACTCTTGGGAAATTTCCCAATGCTCCAGATATTTTGGATGTGTTAGACTAGGACCTGCAAAAGCAGGGTTCAAATCCCAACTCAGCCATGAAGTCCACTGGGTGACCTTGGGCCAGTTCCTCTCTTTCTCTCAGCTCAACACAGAGTAACACATGAAACCGGTCCATTCAGTTCAGTATTGTCTACACTACTGGTCTTCAGCTGGTGGGTTGGCACCCACTAACATGCTGCAGCCCGATCCAAGGTGGGTTGCAACCAGAGAGCTACCACCCTGCCAATATATGGGAAAAGATTAAGAAATGGGTCCCCAAATGCATGTATGATTCAAAGTAGGTCCTGGGTCTTCAAAGGCTGAAGATACTTGGTTTGCGCTGATGGGCAGCAGCCCTCCAAGATTTCAGGCAGGATCTCTCCCAGTCCCACCAGGAGATGCTGGGGACTGAACCTGATGCCTTCTGCATGCTAAGCAGTTGTTCTACCACTGAGCTATGGCCCTAGCTCACCATATTGCTGTCAGGATAAAATGGAGAAGGTGGAGGCTGAAGTGTGTATGCTCTGTGGAGGAAAGGTGGGATAGAAGTGTAAGAAGGAATAAAGTATGTCAACTAGCCTAGAAGTGAATCAACTACAGTATATTTTTAACTTACTCTCCTAATAATTTGTATATAAATTATAAAAGTGGTATATAAATTTTGTTAAATAAAAAAGGGGAAATGTTCAGACTTTCAAACAGTGTATTATGCCTGAGCCTTCATTGCTGAAACTCCCAACAGCATTTTCATGCTCACAAACACCTGATGAAGGAACCATTGTGACATAACCCATTCAAGGAGATATAAGGGGCAACAGGCTGTCAACAGTGGCAGTAGTTGGGAGCTCCCTGCTATTAAAAAGCCACAGGAAGTCTTTTCGTACTGCCTGAGGAATTAATCCCTTATTTAACGTTCAGAATTGCTGGATCGATTGAACAGGACTGGAGCTAACATTTGCTTGGATTTGGCACCATTGATAGGGAACTGCCTGCTGCGTCCTCCGCTTTGAAGTCACCCTGGTCTTTGGGCCTCCAGCACCTTCTTCAGCATGTCCAACCCATCTAAGAGGCGTATGATAATGGTGTTCTACTGGGTTAGGAAGACGCCCCTGACAGAGAAGCCGTGCTCTACCACCTCGGCCAGACCTTCTGCCTCTGCACCGGCTTGCAACACTCCTCACATTTCACCCTACTTCACGAGGAGCAAGACACAACCCGCTCCGCTCAGGAGGTCCAGCAGGCGCAAGGTGCCGCGATTGCCGAATCTCACCGACCCCAAGTTTTTAAGATCGGTCATTGGCAGCGTTGGACGGAAGAGAGCCCGCAGGTGTGGCAAGCAAAAGAAGACTCCGAGACTTCCAGTTTAACCGCGGACATCATAGAAGCGCGGAAAAACCTCTCTGAGGCTTTCTGAGCGGCGCGGGGGCTCTGAGGGTGGCGCAAGGGCACTGCGCACCTCCAAACCTCAAGGGGATCATCTTTGGGGGACAGGGGCACCCAGCGGCGCCACAGCTGCTCCCCTGTTTTCTCGGGGGTTTTTTTAAAGGCCCGAGAGCGGGACGGAGTGGCAGGCGTGAAAGGGAAAGCACCACCACCCCCGCGCTGTGCTGTCTCTAGAAATGTATAGAAATGAAGAAGAAACTGTAAGAGAAGATGTATATTAAGAAAACCACAACTGGGAAGGAAGGAAGTCGAGGCGTGATTTTACGCAATGTAAATAAGATGATATTAAGAATGATTGTAAAGACTGTTTTATTTTGTTTGTGGAAAAATTCAATAAAAAGTATTATAAAAACAAAACAAAAGAAGACTCCAGCAGGAACAGGAAAAGGGGTGAGGGCTAGGCTAGAGGCAAGAAGGCTCCAAAGCTATTTGCGGGGTGGGATTGCTTTGGAAGATGCCTTCTTACAATCTCTCCCCTTGAACCACGTAAGGACATAAGAGGTGCCTGCTGGATGAGGCCACATTGGCCTGTCTAGTCCAGCATCCTGTTCTCACAATGCCCAACCAGAGGCCTGTGGAAACAAGAGCGTTCTGTATTCCTATACTTTCCATCAACTACTATTCACAAACATTACTGCCACTGACTGTGGAGGTAGAGCATAGCCATTGTGCCTAGTGGCCGTTGATAGCCTTCTCCTGCATAAAACCATCCAAGTTGGTGGCCGTCACAGCTTTCTGTGGGATTGAGCTTCCAGAGGGGTAGCTGAGCATGCCTGCTGCAGGAAAAACAGGCATTAAAAGCACATTTCTCCCAAAGAAACTTAACAATTTTAGGCCAAAGGCAGGAGTGGACTTTGGTAATATGGTGCTCTGAGCAAGGACAGAATTTGGCACACCCACCCACCCATAATATTTCTTATTTGTAAATAAAGGTTTAATTTTTATTTTGTGCCCCCTTGGCTGGCTGCCCGGTGCAAGGGACCCGCCAGAGGTGAAGCAGGGAACTGTACCTTCAATAAGAATGTAAGACAAGTCCCACTGAATGAGGCTGGCTAATTCAGCATCCTGTTTCCCACAATGGCCAACCAAATGCCTGCAGAAAAAGCCCACAAGCCAGATGTTTACCCCCCTGCCACTAGTATGCAAAGGTATACCAGCAGGTTGAATGGTTTTCAGAGAACTTGCAGTTACCAAGGCACTGGACTTAAATGAGCTCTCAGCAGGCCTTTGCAGAGCCAGGCAGAGGCCCCGGCCAGGTAGATAACGCGCCTGCCCTTTTTCTTTACCCTGGGGATAACTGAAGTCTTATAAATAAGTAAGTATATAAATAATTTTCACAAAAGTTTCATTTCAAGGCTTGAACTGTATCCGCATATAAAGACAAAACTGAAAATACAGATATACAATTGTGAATATGTTGACCGAGGCCCCCTTTGGAATCGGAGGCTGGGGCCACGTGGCCCATATGGCCCCCCCGCTCTGGGCCTGGCTCTCAGTGATATGGGACAGGAGCCAAACTGTCACATCTGACAACAAATGCAGCTAAAGTACATAATGTGGGATTTCACTCCTGGTAATTCTGCCATGGTGAGAGGTTGCTCTTTTCTATATAGATTTCCAGTTGTCTCATGCAGTTTATCAGTCCTGTTCTGAAGCCTCACCCACACAGCACTCCAAGCTCACTAGTGGAGATGGATACACCAGCTCCTCAAACGGTGCATCAAAATATCCACAAAGCTAATTGTCATTTTACAAGGAAGGTGGTGGTCTTTGTCTGCTTCCTTAATATTTCTAATTCTCTAAAAAAAATTATCAGCTGCGTTTCATGAAGCAGAGGAATATATTATTTGTGGGAAAGGATATCACATGGACTTTGCTCTCAGAGTTTTATCAAGATAATGAAGTCAGTTTGCACAGAGGAAAAGAGGAAAAGAGGAAAAGAGGTGTGGAGGAAGAGCAGATAGGGCCAAATATCTTTAAGATCAGCAAAATGGCACGTATTCATTATACTAGGGCAGAAAGGGGGCGAAATCTGCCAATTCTGCATAAGGGGGCATTCAAATAGTAAAGAAAATAAAGGATATTTGTTAACCAAGCTGCTCTGATACTGCATTCTGTTTTTTAAAGCACCGCAGGATGTCTGCCGAGGAAAAGGAATCAGAAAAAGGAGGAGGTAATTACTGGCTTCACAATATTGGAAGATTTCAAAGAGCCTTAGCAGGGTTGGGATTGCCAAGGAAACCTGTTCCTGGCTGCACAGACAGAGCTCCTGCAAAACTAAGCAGAGAGTAGCTGCCTGTTTATTTCACTTGGAACAAAACCAGTAAAACACCAAGTATGTTTTATATCATGTGTGTTAAAAACACAAAGGCCCTGAAACACTTGCTAAGGCACCCTTGTAACTGTGACTCTTATTGTCCTAAGAACAGTCATTTACATATCTTAACTAGACAGTCTATAAAAGTCTGGTTCCATTTTATGGAAAGCTTGAATAAGCCAGAACCAGGTCCCAATAAGGCCAGGGAATGTTTCATATTCAACCACATTTTTTACATGAACAACTGACTTCCCTGCTATCTCAGAAATATACCTAAAGTTAACACAAAATGGATTCATAAACTGCAGTAATTTCTGACTCTCTTGCTCCAGTTAAAGCTTTATGATGAATAGTCACTGCATACATATTTTTAAATCTTCAGGTTAAGAGAAGAGTTAAGCTACTTACAAGTTCACTTACATTCTGCGGGGCATGGAAATTGAAATTTAAGGCAAATTACAAACATAATTTGGCCTTAGTACCTTAGCACCTTAACCATCTATCTTTAAAGCAACTTATGTGGGAGGAAATTTCATTCTCTCTATGACTGAAAACAAGTTGGCTATGACTTTATTTATCATAGGAGAATTAGCTGTGAAGTCCTAGTTCAAATTTCTTCTCAGACATAAAATTCTCATTTCATAATTCCCCAATTATGGCTGCTATGTTGGTTACTGTGGGAAACATTTAACATTACATTAATGGTTACAGACTGTATGATTCCATTTCACGGCCATTTGGCTCCACTGTTTCCAGTTCTTCCCCCCATACCTGCCAGCTAAGAAATGACATTTTATTTATCTGATAGAGTCTAGTCAGTATAACAAAGGTTGTGGTAAACCTGTTAGCCTTAAAGTGCCACAAGACTCCTGCCTGTTGTTCTTAATAAACAGACAAATGAGATTACCACTCTGGAAGCTGAGTCAGTGTGGTCTGATAACTAGCGTGGCAAAAAAGGGAGAACATGGAATTGCGTTTCACTTAATTCTGTCCATGAAGCTGCAGTGCAAATATGGATAAATGTACTTTCAATGTGGCCATTTTTTATTACAACTGAAGTGGGTATTAATACTTAATACATTATATTAAGATCACACTATAAATACATGAATACAGGTCATAAACAAAAAGAAGGCAACTGTTGTCTTCATATGTGATGCTTTGGGGTAAACAAAAGCAGCCAACCCCCACCCCCAAACCTAAAAAAAGTATTTATTGTGTTCTCTTTTTATTGCACTCTAAGCCAAAATGGTCAATTAATTAATTAATTAATTATTAATTCATAGTGTGTGAATGTCAGGAGCGACCCAGCAGTAAATCACACTGTGCAAGTTGGAGTTAACTCTTTATTAGCAAAAAGATGGTGGACACGGGAATGTCAGGCCTAATGAGCACAATTCATCCCCAGTAGGTCTTGCCTCCATGAAGCAGCTGCTGAGAATGAAGGTCCCTGACGCCCCACAGCTGCCCAAGTCCCCTCCTCTCCAGGGTTTCCCCCCAAGCAACTGGAGACTGTGTCTGCTCATCATCAACCTCTCCTCTGCCCTTTTCACGCTTCTTCTGGTTCTAGGAGCCAAGCAGGGAGGGAAGCAGGCTGCAGCAGGAGAGGGAGACACCCGTGACATCACCAGCCTGAATCATCTCGGCCTCTTGGTGTCCCCTGCTTCAGCTTCTGCCTCTGATTTTCGACTTCTCTCAGCCACGGACTCTCGCAGCTCACTACGCTCTGTTTCCTCCTCAGCTTCTGAACCTTCCTCTTCCCAGTCTTCTCCCTTTGACCACTCATTGCTGTCCGATCACTATTCCCTGGGCTCTGAGCCTTCTTCCCTTGGAGGTTCCCCAGCTGGTTCCTCCCACCATTCTCTGTGCGCAAACAGTCCATCAAATGGGCTTAATCTTCTGTTTAAACTGAAGCATTTTTTTTTCCAAATGGGGGGGGGGAGTTACTCCAAAGAGACAGGAAAATGCTGCCTTCACTGCATTACTGAAACCTGGTGGGATGAGACTCATGACTGAAGGAAGAGTAAACCTGAGTAGCCAACAGTTGCCGGAAGAAGGTCAGGCAGGCCAAACCTCAGAACAAACTCAGAATTTCAAGGCTTAAAAATAATAATAAAGGTTTATTCAGCTATGTTCAAAGCAAGAAGAAGAACAAGCAAATAGTAGGTCCTCTGCATGGAGAAGATAGAGAAATGCTACTGGGTGACATAGAGAAAGCAGAACGGCTCAACACCTACTTTGTCTCTGTCTGACCCAAAAGGAAAGCAGTGTCCAACCTTGGAGAACAGGTGAGGTCCCTGCAGACTGAAGGCAGGCAAATATTGTCCCCATCTTCAAAAATGGGGAAAAAGGAGATCCAACCAGTGAGCTTTACATCAGTACTGAGGTAAAGGTAAGGGGCCCCTGGATGGTTAAGTCCAATTGAATTCAGCTATGGAGCTCATCTCGCTTCAGGCCAAGGGAGCTGGCGTTTGTCCACAGACAGCTTTCTGGGTCATGTGTCCAGCATGACAAAACTGCTTCTGGTGCCATTGTAACTGGAACACAGTGATGAAAGCCAGAAGCATGGAAATGATGTTTACCTTCCCGTCACAGTGGTACCTATTTATCTACTTGCGCTGGTATGCTTTTGAACTGCTAGATTGGCAGAAGTTGGGACAGAGCAACAGGAGCTCACCCCATTGCATGGATTCAAACTGCCAACCTTCTGATCAGCAAACCCAACAGGCTCAGTGGTTTAGACCACAGTGCCTCCACCATCCCTACATCAATACTAGGAAAGGTCTTCAACAGATAATTACAAGCTTGGTGGATGGGGGGGGAGGCTGTGGATGTAGTGTATCTTGGTTTCTGTGAGGCTTTTGACAAACTCCCCCATGATATGATTGCAAGGAAGCTGGTAAAATGTGGGGCTTAATGAGGTTACTGTGGATTTGTAGCTGGTTGACTGACCAAAACAAAAAAGTCAGTAATGGTTCCTCATCATCCTGGGGAAAAGTGAGAAGT